ACTACACCACACTGCCCTGTACTGCACCATACTACACTGTGCTACACCATATTACACCATACTGCAGTATTCTACGGTATATTATACTACATATTGCTATGTGGCACTACACTATACCATACTCCACTACACTACCCTATACTAGATTGTGTACACCATACTACAGTACACAATATTAAACACCACACTACACTGTATCATGCTATACCATAATACATTATATGAGATTATACTACACTACACCACACTGTATAATACTATACTACACTATACTGCTCTATACTATACTATACCATTCTCTCCTATGCTACTTTTACTACACTGTACCCCAGCACACCATACCACACTGTGCCGTACCATGCTACTCTCTATTACACTACACCACAACATACATGCTACACTGTGCTATACTCCACTTCCTATACTACATTACACTGCACCATGCTGCACTACATGATATTACACTGTATGACACTCTACTACACTGTACCACACCACACTGCACCATCATACACCATAGTACACTGTATTATACTATATCATTCTACACTACATTGCTGTGTACTACACCATACATACTACACCATACCATACTATGCCATACTGTGTCATACTGCACCACTCTACATTACACTGCATTATGCTACACTACACCACACTCTATTACACTATGCTACACCCTGCTACGTGATACTGCGCTGTGCCGTAGCACGCCATACTGCACCCTGCTATGTCATACCGCACGACACTATACAGGACCATACTCTGCATACTATGCTACACTGTGCTACGCTCTACTATATACCACACTGGACTGATAAGTGTATCATACTATATTACTATACTATATGGTGCCATGTCATACTGTACTGCCCCTTGCTGCACTACATTGTACTCTATTACACTGTGGTACTCTGTGCTTAAGTATAGCACACTATGTCACACTATACTACATTACACTTCTCTTCTGTAGCATCTTAGGCTACACTACCTTGTACTACACTCTACTACATATACTACACCACACTATACTATTATATAAATGTAATACAAAAGCCATTTATCTTGTCATCGTGGCTGATTTGAGGTTTTCTCTCCTGTTTTCTTGGCCCACCTCTTGCCGCCGGCTATCTGCTATAAATAGTCGGTTTCTTTTATTCGTTAGGTGTTACTTTTCTGTAGAATGTAATAGTGGAAAAGATGAGAAAGCGCAGTCCCAGGGGAGGAGGGAAGCTGGAAGGAGACCCATGGCGGGCCCACCCAGGAGTCTGTGTGCTTAGAGCCAATATGCTTACCCAGACACTGTATTGACTGCTTGTGGTTGAGGTGACTCAGGCTGCTTGCCCAGGCTTCCTTCACTGCCCTCTGCCCTGCCTCCTTTGGCGATGGTGAAGTGGCTTCAGGGTCCATTTCCTAGCCGGTGCAGGCGAGGGTCAGGGAGGTGGGGAGAGCAGTGTGCTCTTCCCTTCTGCTCCTCTCCTAACGGTTGTGGTGGGGGGTTCTGTGAGGGCACATACACCAGCTACCAGGGGCTCTTGGCATTGCTGCAGGCTCTTCCGGCAGATGCCAAGGCCCCATGACAACAAGACTCTGCTAATACAGCATGGGTCCTGAGGCCCTCACTGTTCCCTGAGATTTTACTTCCCATGGACCCTGCTCACTGTGCCAGAGAAGCATGGCCTCTGTGTGGTCTGGCCCCAGGTACCACATCTACAACGTGAATGAGCAGAACCCTGGCTTCCAGGAGCCCCGCGCTGTCTTCTACACGGCCCAGATCGTCAGTGGCCTGGAGCACCTGCATCAGAGGGGCATTGTCTACCGAGACCTCAAGCCTGAGAACGTACTTCTAGACGATGATGGTGAGGTGGCCTCCCCTCTCAGGTTCCCCTCACCCAGTCTCCCCCACTCCCCATTTCTCCTCCTCCGAGCTTCCCCCCCTGTCCTCCTCCTGCCCAGACTCCCCTCGCCAGGCTCTCCTCCGTGGCCCAGCGGATCTTCAGTAGGAGGATAGGCTGGTTCCTCTTTCTGCCTTTTGAGGGATTCTCATCAGAAGGTAGCAGAGATCTAGGTTTTCTTTCTGTCCCTTGGACACCCTCCCTTTGTGTCACTAAGTCATGCAAATGTGGGGCATTCTTGAAACGGTTTTGGGTGGATTGTGCCTCCAATCACAGTGGCGGGTGCTGCTGGGGCCCCTCTGTCCCTCTGTAGTCTGGCTGGGAGGGCAGAGGCCTCAGGGCCCTGGGGTGGGTGTGTGCTGCACATGCGTGTTCGTGGGCATGTGTGTGTGTGTGCAGAGGCTGCCCTTGGCTCCTGCAGGCTCAGGGAACACCAGGTGCCTTTGTTCTGTGGGGCCGCGGGTGACCTCAGCCCATGTTTGTTTTTAGGCAATATCCGAATTTCTGACCTTGGGCTGGCTGTGGAGCTGAAGGACGGGCAGACCAAGACCAAGGGCTATGCGGGCACCCCAGGTTAGCACCTGAAATCAAGGGTGGGGCAGCCTCTTTTGCAGGGGGCAGGGAACGAGGCCGTAGGGGTCCTTGGGGTCCCCATCCCTCATAGCAAGTAGTAGAACCACTGGGTGTGGCCAGTGGATGTGCCTCTGGCAGCTGACACCCACTGGCAGGGGTGATCCCTCCCACCTTTTGGCTTTGGCGTGCCACCGCCTCTGTGATGGGAGCTTCTGCCTTCAGTGGCTTCCTGGACATTAGCAGAGTGTGTTTGGAGTGCCCAGCCCTGTTGGTTGGAGCCCCGAGGATCTGCAGTAGATCACCAGCTGTACCCTCAACTGTACTAACACCGCCCCCAAGGTGGGCAGACTGGGAGAGCTGTGAGGGGTACCCAGCCCCCACCACCATGTGGCCAGGGCCTTCGCTGTTCAAGGGAGTCCAGGGTGGGCTGTGAGGCAGGTGGGGGTGGCCCTGTAGGAGAGGGGGCTGCCCGTGTCCAGTATGTGTGCGTGTGTGGGTGCATGCACACGTGTGTCTGTGTGTTTGCATGTGTATGCATCTATGTGTGCATGTGTGTGCATGCACATGTGTGTCTGTGTTTGCATGTGTATGAATATGTGTGTGCACGTGCACATGTGTCTGTGTGTTTGCATGTGTGTGCACATGCACATGTGTGTCTGTTTGCGTGTATATGTGTCCGGGTGTGCATGTGTGTGTGCATGCACAACACGTTCTGCTGCCCCCCCACTTCGACTCAGCCCAGGCGGGGAGGGAAGAAGCCCTGTGGACAACAGAGGAGACCCTCTAGAGTTGGGGTGGACACAGCAGGCAGCCCGGACTGCAGGGGGAGGTCAGTGCCACGATGCTGCCTCTGGTCTGCGGGCACCTGGGGGTCAGTCCCCTGCCCTTCCATGTTCCGGAAGGTCCAGGGATTCTCAGCAGATGCCTCCCGGGTTGATTTGGCTTTGAGGAGAAACTGCTGCCACTGGGATTTGGGGCCACTTGGACCTTGTTTTGTGTCTCTGGATCCTCCTGTCCTGTGCTCTGGGCCCTTTTTGGGTTTGTCCCTGCGGCTCTATCCTCATCTGGGGCTTCATTTAGGGAAGGTCCTTCCTATCTGAGTTTTCCAGATCCTTGTCCAGAATCTATGAAGTTCCTGCTCTGAGTGCAACCATCTGAGTGGAAACACTCCTCACATATTTTAGGGTGATTCAAATCATTGGGAGAAAGCCCCAGAGAATAAGGCACCACAGGCTGGATTCCAAGTAGTCCGACTCTGAGTGTGAGGGCACTGCCGGCCGCCAGAGGGCCCCCCACCCCCGGTTTCGCTGTGGCCACTGCCTTTCTCTGAGCAGAGGAAGCAGAGGACGCATCTTTTGAGCATTTGGGGTCAGGTGCAGGGTGTGACCTGCAAAGAGACGCAGTAGATGGGAAGGTTAGGGTATAGGTTGGGGTGCAGCGTACTGTGTCCCTCTCGCTGGCCTCCCTGCACCCTGCCTGCTGGGTCCCTGCTGCCAAGCCCCTGCACACACTCAGTGAGCCATGATCGGGCACAGAGGGGCTGTGAGTGTGCCTTCTGAACCCACAGGGTTTCCAGCCCGGACATGGGCCTGGGGCCACGTGAGGAGGGATTAATAACTAGACTGAGGAGTGTTCACTCACTCATTCATCTGCTCACTCACCTGCTCACTCACTCACTCACCTGCTCACTCACCTGCTCACTCACCCACTTACCAGATCACCCACTCGCTCAGTCACCCACTCCCCTGCTCATTCACTCACCTGCTCACTCAACCACTTACCTGCTTACTCACTCACCTGCTC